ACATGACGACTTATAGTATTATTTTATTTAACACTTATTTTTGGTTCCATGTACTGGGGTCGTTTATAACTATGCCAAGTAAGTAAATGTATAAAAAATGTAAGAGGTATGGGTTATTTTTCTGTACAAAATTTTTCTTATAATTAGTATTACTAGTATAAACCGTACCGTTGTCAATGGTGCATAACACTTTATAATTTAACATGAAACGGAATAAACTTCAGCAATTAATCCAGAGCTGCTAGTCGGAAGTTAGCGATCAAAGTCAAACAACAAAAGCTTCTTGCTTCAGGTTTTGTAGTGATAACTATGCACTTTGCAAAAATAAAATAAACCAAAAGAAATCCAATGAAAACATACAAATTTAATTAATAATAACTGAATAAAGAACTGGAATAGTTGAACAACAGGTCGGAAGTGTTAATAGTTTTGAAAATAAATTTTAACGAAGATTAAAAGGGTGGAGTTAAAAGTACTTTAACTAAAGTAGGGATCGAATCAGAAGTAAATGAAACTTGAAAAGTGTGATAAGATGAAATACTAAGAAACAGATTTTGCCCCAATCCACCAACAAAATCCAATATTAAAATGCAATTAAGGAGCAACAAGAATCATACACCTTATACTGTTAGTAAGCGAAATTAAAATATTAAGGGATTAATGAAAAGTCATCATCATAAGGTCGTCAGTCCTAAGACTAGTTGGACACGTACCTCCACTCTTTCCTATCCTGACCTAAACTTCGCATTTCCCTAAAACTAGAACAGCCCATATCCGTAACTATTTGCGAACAGTAATCTAATCTAGGTCTACCTATACCCCTCCTAACTCCTGTTTCTGCCTCTAATATGTCTCTGACTAGCCCTTCATGCCTGAGAAGGTGTCCTACCAACCTATCTCGCCTATTTTTTATTGACTTCCATAGAGTCCTCTGTTCTCCTATTCTTTCCAATACCTCTTCATTTCTAACCTTTTCTACCCACGATATCCTCATCATCCGCCTATAACACCACATTTCGAACGCTTCTAACCTTTTCTTTTCCGCCGCTCCCACTGTCCATGTTTCGCACCCGTACAACGCCGTGCTCCAAACATACATCTTTAACAACCTTTTTCGGATTTAAATTTTAATTAAATTAAACGTTCGCGAGCATAGAAGTGACTTTTTATTAAAGGCGACACGACCCTGCGCTATCCTCTGCTTTATATCCCTACTACTCCTTCCATCCTGACTTATCTGACTTCCTAGGTATCTAAAATTCGCCACTTCTTCTAATTGTTCGTTTCCTATCTTTGGAAAGTACAAGTAATAAAATAATATGTAGAGAGAATAATAGAAAGGTACAGATACAAAAGGTTTTATGAAGATACATTTGAAAGAACATTTACATAATAACAATAGGAAATACTTACAAAAGGAAGAATTGAGTTAGACATTACACTATTGATATTAGAAAAAATACCAAAGCTATATATAAAAATGATAATATACAGCAAAAAGTGATATGTGGCAAATGTATGTAGTCACAATGCTAATCAAGGAGACCTATCTCATCATGATCTAATCTACTGTATACTACTTAATTCCTGGTGTATGGCACTTCAAACAAATCAATCAGGAAATTTTTTCTCACCTCAACCTAACTAAATCAGTAGAGCATAGAACTTCACACATGTTAGTGAGGAAACCCTTTTCCACCATAAAGTAAAACAAACCCTTAGTGCATAGTACCTACTTTAAACAAGCCAATCAAGAAGACCTCTCTCATCATAACCTAACTTAAGACCATGGGGCATAGCACCTCACGCAAGCCAATCAGAGAATCGTAACGTAAGTCCAACGTGCATAGCATATCGCACGTGTGAATCAGGGTTACCCTATACTGTAGCCTAATTAGGGGTAGAAAGCCTTCGAAATTGGTCCATCTGCGCAATGTAGGCTAACCTCAACCCGAACAATTTACTGCGAATCATTTGGTCAAGTCGTCTCCTCTTTAACATTCAAAGAATCATTGCAACCGGGGGGGTGGGGTGCAATGATCTTGTTGAAGTAGCATAGGTGGTTGATTGCATCATGGATGTAGCCCAGACACAAACCATAGTTAATCCCAGAATCAATTGCCCTTCCGAGACTATTCAAGCCTTAGCCAACATAGTATTCGCCCTCCGGATGGATCTGAATTACCTAAGAATACACATGAAAATTTCTAGCACCGGCGGCCTCACACCACACCCAGATTGTATCCATAACTATTTCACCAACATTTTCGACTTATATTATCTGTAGCTGGTACCAGACATGGAGAGAAGAAGTCATTTCTCTACATGAATCTCCAAACATCTAAGTGTGACCTAATTCGTCGAGACGGTCCAAAAAAGCTCTCGACAAACCTTCTACGATCCCTTTTAGAGATTTTAAAAGAATCGACCACTCATTCACCATGTATTTCATCATAAATATATGTAATGGCAGATGAACAGCATCTTTAATCAACACCCATAGATGTAAAATCCAGTGATAAGGCAACACATACAACAACAACCTAGACCAGACGCCGGGTTCGCTTTCTCAAAAATATCCAGACAAGTTGATTAACATAATATTTCGAATTTAAAATACGTATGTATACATAGGCGTACCCAGATTCTGCCCTAGTGGGGGGCAGTCACATTTTTTAGGTCAGATCGTCCGCGGCTGTTTTGTCATACTCGCTACACAAAGGCACAAATGCACCTATATGAAACAGTAGGTATATGTAGTAGAGTGTGTAGGACAAACAGCCGCAAATGATCCTGCTTTATAAGTACTAGGGTCAATTGAAAAGTCCCCGGCCTGACACATAGATGGCGGCACCAGAACTAAATCCATATGATTTAAAATTAGTCCTAACCTTCAAAAGACGCGTCTATAAATTTGACGGCTGTCCGCTCATTAGTTTGTGAATTATAACATTTTTAGTAAAGCAACTTTTGTTATTGTGAAAAAAATGGATAAAAAGGAATTTCGCGTGTTGATAAAATATTGCTTTTTGAAGGGAAAAAATACAGTTGAAGCAAAAACTTGGCTTGATAACGAATTTCCGGACACTGCCCCAGGAAAATCAACCATCAAGGATTGGTATGCTAAGTTTAGACGTGGTGAAATGAGCACCGAAGACGGTGAACGCAGTGGACGCCCAAAAGAGGCTGTTACGGACGAAAACATTAAAAAAATCCACAAAATGATTTTGAATGACCGTAAATTGAAATTGAATGAAATAGCAGACACTCTACAGATATCAACGGAACGTATACATCACATCATTCACGAATATTTGGGTATGAGAAAGCTCTGTGCAAAGTGGGTGCCGCGCGAGCTCACTTTTGACCAAAAACAACGACGAGTTGATGATTCAGAGCAGTGTTTGAAGATGATCACGCGTAATAAACCCGAGTTTTTGCGTCGATATGTGACAATGGATGAAACATGGCTCCATCATTTCACTCCGAAGTCCAATCGACAGTCATCGGAGTGGACTGCACACGATGAACCCGCTCCAAAGCGTGCAAAAACGCAACAGTCGGCTGGCAAGGTTATGGCGTCTGTATTTTGGGATGCGCGTGGAATAATTTTCATTGACTACCTTGAAAAAGGAAGGACCATCAACAGCGACTATTACATAGCGTTATTGGACCGTTTGAAGGACGAAATCGCCGAGAAACGACCGCATTTGCAGAAAAAGAAAGTCCTGCTTCACCAAGACAATGCACCGTCTCACAAGTCAGTGAAAACGATGGCAAAAATTCATGAATTGGGCTTCGAATTGCTTCCGCATCCACCGTATTCTCCAGATCTGGCCCCCAGCGACTACTTCCTGTTCTCAGATCTCAAAAGAATGCTCGTTGGGAAAAAATTTTCGTCGAATGAAGAGGTGATCGCCGAAACTGAGGCCTATTTTGAAGCAAAGGACAAATCGTACTACAAAAATGGTATCGAAAAGTTGGAGGATCGCTATAATCAGTGTATCACCCTTGAAGGGAATTATGTTGAATAAAAAAAATACGAATTTTGCAAAAAAAATGTGTTTTACTATTTTAGGCCGGGGACTTTTCAATTGACCTGTTAGTTAAATAAATAAAAGTGAATTTGACTATGCATTTTTATTTTATTTTAATTGTTTAATTCGACTTCTACTTTAAAAGTAATTTTCGAGGATCTTTAGCAAAACGGTTTATGACGTCTTCCGTGAAAGAATGGCCCATACTGTTTACATTTTTTTTATGTACACTGAGCACACAGAGTCCATTTTGTATGTCTTCGAGATTTCCAGGTGAGGCAGCTGCCTTCCCCTGACCCCTCTGTATATGCCCACGTATGTATATGTAATTATTGTTTGCAAACACCGATAATAATATAGTATGGAGTGAATGAACTAGGTCAAAACAGATACATTAGTAAAATGCTGGATGTACAATTGTCATATGATCCATTGTAAATAGTGTACTACATATATAAGCTATAAATAGTCAAGTAAATCAGTTTGTTTGCTGTAAGGACCTTGCTTTTCTTCTTCTCTGATGCTAAAGCAGAACCATTAACTATATGCTGCAATAAGTGTTTAGTTAATTAGTCTTTTGAGCGCATGCGCTGAAGTTTATGAGCATGCGCAGAAATCAGTTGTTTAATGACAATGTCTTTCTAACCTCTAAATCATTTACTCTTATTTCGCCAACTATCAATTTAATAACGAGCTTTCCGCACAAACATGACAAAAAATAGTATACGTACCTCGGGAAGAAACATGGTTGTCTCAAACTGCATGTTAGCCACCCTCGCCTTCGGCTTGGGTGGCAATTCACACGCAGTCTGAAATAACCCTGTTTCTTCCCTCGATATGTAATGTACTATTGTTTTGAAAGAATTGAAGTCATCGCGTGTACATCCTACAAGGAAATGTATTAGGTATTACTGAAGCAAACGATGAAGAGATTAAGGTCTACTAAACTAAATACATGCACAATGTACTTCAATAGTCTAATATTTAATCAATTAAACAAGATACATTATATTATCATATAAACTAATGACATGTGTCAATAAATTAATTAAAACTAGGACAGTGGTGCAGTTTATTATCAAGTGATCTTATTGGAACTAGAACCCGAAACGGTTCATCCAAAGATAATCAAATAATCAGAGTTTTGTCTAACAATTGCATAATAGTTGCTGTAGTAAGAAATTGCAGCATAGTTGATAACCACGTTCCAACGATAATTAGGTTGGTATGCATTCATGTAGCTCTGAAGAAGTTGAGATATGTAAACCCTATCAGACGATAGTGAGTAGGCTGTATTTACGTATGATAAGATTTGGGTTTGCATGGCAACTGGCATATTCGTTTCGTAAATGGACGCTACCCTTGTCTGAAATAAAAAACAAACACTCTTTTGATTTTGATTACAAGCTAAAATACATTAATAATGCAGGTAACGCATTTGATATGAACATAAAAGTGTCATTATGTAAATGACCATGACATATAATGATAACACATTGTGCATAAACGATCTCAAGAATAATATTGTAAGAGATGGTTTATATTCCTATATAATAATAACTTTAAATAACACGTCGCAACAGTGTAACGAAATTATGTTTACTTAATTATGAAAATTATGATATGCTTACACGTATACTAATTATTAAAGTAAAAGTGACATTTTCTGTTAAAAAATAAATCTTAATATTCCAGTTTTATTGATCCACAAATTTGTGTATGGCTATAAACAAAGAAAGTTGCAAAGACATATGTACAACGTTGTAACTGTTTAAATAAAGCCTTCCGAAAATGAACAGGACCTATATTTTTGGATTCTTTATGTACATCGCAATAATGAAGAAAAAAAAATTGGCAAATTATGAAAACATGGCGTAAACACAATAAAAATGTTTGTATTTGTGGACATCTTTTAAGACGTATGTGTTTAAAATTGAAACATTATTATAACGTATATAAAAAATAGAAAAAAACAGCCTAAAATACTGATACATATAACGATATAACAATGAAAATGACATGACTACGGAGTCTTAAAAATGCTTACGTCTCTTAGTCCGTCAGTTTCTAACTCGTGCTTATTCAGCACAGATCCATCGCTTTTTCTATAGGCAGCTTCAGGAGTTTTTTCTTCTACTGGAGATGCAGTTACTAACCAGCAACCCAGCACAATAAAAGGTAGAAAAGTGATCAACACTTTGGTGTTCATTTTGTATTTGAAAAATGAAAATTATTCGACACAAACTAAATTACTTTTCAAAGCGTTTATCAAATTGCTGTTGAAGTTAATGCAATGCTCTAAGCGTATATATATGAACAATTGAAGTATATATCTATCACATACAGGTACCGCCTTTATATTGTGATAAGGTAATATTCCATCAATAACAACTTCATTGGTTTTGTTTGTATTGGTGTATTTCTAAGGAAAGTATTGAAAATTGAGATAAGTAATACGAAAGTCGATTTAATTTAATAAAAATTATCTGGACATATTTTATTTATCATTAATTACTGATATTATTTTTTTTGTACAATTCTAATAATTTTTATTTAACGAAAACAGAAAATGATTAATTGTTTACGTTTCACACGTGCAAATGGTAATATAGCTAAAATAGACTAATCTTCTCTAGAACTTACGCAACATTACATCTATAACTATAGGAAATAAAAATCATGAAAAAGCAGACCATTATAAAATTATGAATAATGTGTTACATTATTAGCATAGTCTAGTTTTAACAACATATAATTTTGGTATCATTAGTTTCAATAATAGAAAAGCGTATATTTTCAGAAATATTTGTAGAGTAAAGTCGGTGAATGTGGAATAGGTCAGGTAATGTGGAATACCATGTTTGCACTAAAATTAGAAGAGTCATCTAAATTCTAGTTGATGTATTAGGTACTACTCTTAATGTATTTCGAAGTAATGTGTTATGTAATCCTATGTTTGTTATAGGTGTCGTTGTGTTTAATCAGAAATTATTTCGCAGGTGGCTGACATTTTGTAGGGTAGTGATACTGTTAACTGTTACGCATTTGTTTGGATCGATTTAAAAATAGTGGTGCTGCGTGTAGTTACTGTAAATGTTTTAGAGTGTGAGGTATGATATTACAGCCCTATAAAATTAACTTTATCCAAGTTCTTATATGGTCATAGTTTCGTGTCTATAAGCGGGTATTGTGGAATATCAATAGATTTGCTATTGTGGACTATTCTACATAACCAATTCCATTTTCCCCTCCCTAACTCCCAATGAAGATGCCGAATGTATTTTTTGTGCAGGTAAATTTTCTGAAGATACAAGAGGGGAGGTTTGGATNTTGAACGAATATAAAGAAAATTTGTTAAATTCCAAAGTATTAAAAAAGGAGAAATTAGAACTACAAAGGACACGTATAGAGAGTTAGAATTATGCGAGTTAGTGATAAGGAGAAAATATGTTAACCTTTATTTTTTTTTAATTATTAATGGCATAATTGATTTTCTTGGTCAGGCCGGAAACTTATCAATCCACCCTCGTATTACGCAGGAAATTACTCAAATTCGGCATTAAATTTTCATCACCATGTATAATACCAAACAACTTTTAACGCAACTGTATTAGATAACAGGCATCCCCTTATCTTCCTTCTCAATATTAATTTAATATTAATACTTCAGCTTGCATAATTAAGAAATATGCAATTTAGAGTTAGACAATGAAGCAACTTTTTTTGATGAAGTTGGAATATCTCGAACACTAATAGACCTAGACCAAGAGAAGCTTTATAAAATAAAGTAAAATAAAATCCCTCTAAAATAACAATTAGATTCTGAAAATTCAAAAATATAGAGGATAATCTTTATTTTTAATTACTAAATCTACCAACCTACATAAAATAAGATACATTGTATTATTGTGTTACGTCACCTAGACGGGAAAAACAAATAGCTAGCTGACTAGAGATATTACCGTGAATAAAAAAATTACAGAAGTATGTTTAATAAACTTGTTTATAATTTTTAAAAAAATGGTATTCCACATTCACCGACCTTACTCTACGTATAAAATCTCATATTTAGCAAATGTTCAGTATTCTACCTGATAGGAACATTTCCGGAACTTTTGTAAATAATAATTTTTCTCCTCTGTCGTCGTTGATCGTCCCTGATGTTCGGAAAAAAAACCGGAAGTAGTCATTTTTATAATAAACCCAACAGCAAGCTTCGAAAAAAGTGTCCAGCTTTTTGTTCCTGTTCCAATCATAAGCCATATTATCCAGAAAACTAAAACGTGTTTAGGACCCAAAAACTTGTTCATCCTTTCTAAAATTTTCATTTAAATAATTTTCAATGGTCGTTGTTGAAAAATTAGCTTCAATAATATCCGACATTATTATTTTCAGAGAGTAACAATAAAAAAAGAAGTTCTTTTAGCCTTACAAATAATTGAAAGTTGCCGAGGAGATCACTTACTTTCTTGCTGTTGAAAGCTTTTGACGTTTCCATATATAATTAAAACTAATTATTGTTAATTTAGAATACGATGATAAAATGCTTGATTTGGTTTTGAAAACGACAGTCGGCGATTTCAACGCTAAACACGTCTCTTGGGGCTGTTGACAAACCAATAGTAAAGGCACCTCCCTTCTTGCCAAAATTCTTGACTTCAACCTCACAGTTGAAGCACCCGCTAACACCACGTTCCTCCCTGCCCCCACAATCAATTCCCTGACATCCTTGATATTTTCGTCTCAAGAAATTTTACACTTTCCGCCGATCCTATCGTCTTAGACGCATTAAGCTCGGACCATCTCCCAGCCCTTATTGAAGTCGGCCGCCCAATCCTCAACCCCCCAAACCCAACCACGACACTAGATTGGCTACACCTCCGTTACACCCTCTTTAACATCTTTATTCAAGTGCACTTCAACTCGCACAATAGCGGAACTTGACGAAGCTGAGAATTTCCTTTCAAACGAGATTACCAGCGCTATCGAGCTCTCTACTACCTCCCGCACCACGCCCAACAAAGACAGAACTCTCCCCGCAGACATTCTTGACCACCTTAAGAGGAGAAACAAGGCCCGACGTCTGTGGAATAGACACCGCGGCTCCGCACACTATGCAGAAGTAAACGCCCTTCAACGAGAACTAACAACTCGTCTCACTGAATTCCGCAGCGCATCCTTCGATGACTATATCGCTTAGGCAGAAACTCACTCACGAAGCACTTGGAAAATGATCCGTTTTCTTCGTAACAGAGCTCCCCATCTTCCGCCACTAAAACAGATCGGCTCCATCTATTCTTCAGACGAAGAAAAAGCTGCAATCTTCGCATACTCTTTATGTCTCCAGTGCTCCCCACTACTTAGTCCAGTGGACCTTGCCGACTTTCACAAGCGTACCAAAGCCGTCTCCCAGAACTTCATTCCCCTACATTCCGACTTCAGACACACTACGCCCCATGAAATCTCTCCTTACTCCGTTCACTGAAAAAGAGGAAAGCCCCTGACGCTGACGGAATTCAAAATCCCTCCCCCCAATCCCCCACGCTTAACCATTTTCCCTTCTCAACCCTCTCCCAAATTCCAACCTTCCATTCTCTACCCGGGGATGAGTAATCCTCAGGGTTTACCTCCACACTCAAGGAGGGGTTTTAGTCGGTAAAAATCCGATACTACCTCCCTTCAGGGGGTGTCGTTTGAATATTTCCCCTCCTCGAGAATAATCTAAATAAAAAAAAACATACGGAACACTCATCTTGTTCTTCCTTCTATGAGCTTTCCTCTGGGACATTAGCGTGGAATTCTGAGAGAGTTTTGCAGTCCCGAGCGACCGTCCGTTTGGGAATCAGTGTTGAGTGTTTGGACTAACTTGTTTTTCGCGACTTGTGATTAGAGTTAGCATAGTGTTAAGTTTTCGTTGTAATTTAAATCCCGAGCCACACGCGGACTCACCTTTGTAACCATTGTTTTGTCCTTTTTTTATATAAATTTAACTATTCGTTTAATAAAGTTTGTTTTATTAAGGGAAAAAACTAGAGCATCTTTTATTCACCCTTACAGTCAGCATATAGGCTGCTTAAAAATCACTACAGTTGTTATTTCGTTATTATTAAATTATTCCCGCAACCTGCCATTGAATTTTTTTTAATGACTTCTAACTTTGAAATTTATTACAAAGGACAGACATGTGCAAATAAAGAGCATTCGAAGGGGTTTCGGATAATTTTTATTTAATGTCATTTAAAATGATATATGTAGGTACGTAATCTTTTTAGGTTTCAGATCGATTTAAAAATTTTTAATTTTGCTAACTACGGATAGTGATTAACGTGGGTTTAAACAAATAATTAATAATAATGAAAAACAAAACATGTTTTCGTTCGGTAAATTATAAGAAACAGGAGCAATGGAAATCCCGAAATTAATCTCTATTTGTAATGTTATTTGTAATATTTTCTTGTCGTATCTTATCTATTAGCCGAAATTAAACAAAACAGCGGTTATTTCACCTGAAAACTGTGTTGTTTTTATTATCAATAAAATCCTAAAAAGATAGTAGACTGTTATCTGCAGGTGTTCTTTAATTTATAAATGACTGAACCGAAATTATAAGAACCAAAACAATTTCAAATAAAGAAATCTTTTCTGAAATGTGCCACTAGCAAAGTATTATTTTGATACCAATTTTGTTTCGACAGTAATGTAGGTATATACTCAGATTGCTAGTTCCTTTCTACATTTTAATAAAATTCCTACATCTTAATAAAATAATTCGAAGTGGTCTGCGACGCGCTGATGAGATCCAAAAAGATTGAAATCGCGATCCGCGTCTGGCAGTTTCGACAGAATACAGACCACTTCGAATTATTTTATTCGATTAAGCTAACGTGCCTATCACGTTGAGGTTGGCTACGCCGGGATTCATTTTCAGCAAGTAGATATCCACACAAGTGGACCTTGTTGGAGCATATGTAATCCTAAAATGTAGCATCGTGCTACAGATGGCGTTTACTGCGCCGTTTGTAGTATTTCCTACATTTTGTTCAAATTATAGTTCTTTCTCAACATTCAACAAAGAGAGAGAGTTTCTGAAATAAATAGCAATACAAGATTTAGAGGGTGTTAATCAGAAGCAATAGGGAATCGCATGGTGAGTAAAGGAATAAAGACATTGTAAAAACATCAGAAGTTACAATCCGTACCTCTGGCTGTAAGGAAAATTGGAATCAAATAAGCAGCTACACCGATAGAGAATGTAAGCAGTGACGGTTGCGTTGTGTAAAGTAAATATAAACAGCTAACTACTACGCTACTCCTATAAAAGGCTAAATACATACATTACAAAAATTGACATTAGAACCGTCTGCTAGAATACAGGCTTCAAGACGTCTACTAAAATTATTAATGACTTCGACTAACTACATAGGTACAATATTAAACGAATAAACATAGTCAATCCCAAATATAATATAACCTTTGGATTGGTTTGGTGGACTAGTTAAGATTTAAGATTGATACACCGTAAAAGTTAAAAAAATTAGCTACATTGATAAGAGCGTTGCAATCATCCTGGTCAGGAGGTAGTGCCACGAACACTTAAGGATTCCTACCGGTTATGCTCTTAAGGGTAGAGACTTTTTGTTAACGCGTTCCCCAGTCGACTGTTCGCGATTAGACCATCGACCTCCGTCCACGCACTAAACTTATTGATGAACCACTGATTATTTGTACATGGTTCAACATTGGTCATTCACTGGTTCTAGAAGTTTCTTTGATTTATCTGATTTAGTGAAAAAACTGACGAAATTTGCGATATTAGCTGGGTTAGAAACCCTCTTTGTCTTTTTTGATGACTTCGTGAAGTTCCATAATTTTCACAATAACCAGAACTGTCGAACTTGCGTTAATTTCTGCCTGTACATAGATAATTCTTTTCGCTTACTGCAAATGAACTCTATATCTGTTTTATGAATTTTGAAAGAACTGCAACGTTATATTTATGAAATATTTATTTAATTTTGAAATATGTTTTAATGTCTAAAATAGTTTTTAGGTTTCCCTAAAACTCCACTGCGTAACAATACTAAGACGGCAAGCAACACTCTCTCTCTCTCTCTCTCTCTGGCTAGGAATGATGTATCAATGACCTCCATTTCAAGAGATTCGTTGTATGATCATACTACATGCGGAAGATTAAAGCCCCCATTCCAACACCAGAGGGAGGTTGAATAATAGTAGAAATCCATTAATTTTATTTATGTATATGTAAGATTTAAGACCGCCAAAGACCACAGCTAGTCGTCCATCAAAAATCTAAAAGATGCCAGTAGGAAATTACAAAATCTTTACTTCTCAAGCAAGGATAAACCTACTTATTTATTCAAATATTTTAGATCAAGTACTAGATCTAATCATCTCCATATAAATGGGAACAAAATAAAAACCAAAGATACAAAAAAGCACTATGTGGTAATCACTACTGAAAAACTGATAGCAGGAATGCACTTATATCAAACTACATCGAGATCATATATTAGGAACAGAACCAATACCAGGAATAAATCTTTCTTACTAACTACGTGATGTCTATAGCCTTTATTCCTTCCAATTACTTTTAAACGATTTGTTCCTTCGGTAACAGTTTAGGTTAAAAGGGATTCTGTATTATTTTGTAAGCATGCTCAGACTTTCTAAAGTTAATCTTTTCTTACTGCTTTTATCTACTTTAATATAAATACTTCTTAATGCTTCACAAGATTAGGTATTCCCAACAACGTCATTAAGAAAGTACTAATCGTCCCAAATCAAGGTTTCCTACTTTTGTTCTGTTTAAAACCTAATATACCTTAGCTGCGTAATCTAGGTACGGCGTAATGTAGTTCCATATTACATTCTGTATTTATGCCCCTATTATTCGTTTCTCCATCCTCCTGTGGTCATATTTTCTAATTTTCTTGTTTGCCTCATTATTCTAATATTCCATGCTCCGATTCGTGAAATATTGCAACATTTCCTATTAAAATTCTGGGTGACTTCACATAAGGTAGTCTTCACTCGGACAACTGCTTTACGTCCGGAGTACTTAACTCTAGAGGACGCTATCATTTAA